TATTCTGAGCATGAGAATCACCCGGCATATTAATATGAATCGGATTATGTCTCGTGCTCAGAATGGATGTCGAGGCGGTGGTCGTGGAACCAAGGAACCACTTCTCATCGACGCGGTCATTGGCAAAATGGTTAAACGCAACCGTCGGAACTTCTCCGCCGCCTGGATAGACTATAGAAAGGCGTTCGACTCGGTGCCCCATACATGGCTAAAGAGGGTCCTCGAACTGTACAAAGTAGACTGTACAGTAAGAGACTTCCTCGGGCACTGTATGGGGCAATGGAGTACGATCCTTTGTCATCTAGGCGAGCGTATGACGGTTGCGGAATACCGGATAAGGATACGACGGGGTATTTTCCAGGGCGACTGTTTGAGCCCAATATGGTTTTGCCTCTCCCTGAACCCTCTCAGCGTGTTACTGGAGGGCTCGGGGGGAGGATTTCAGCTTCGGAGAGGAGGGACAAAAGTGACCCACCTTTTCTACATGGATGACCTCAAATTATTCGCCTCCAATCGCTCCCATTTGATGGAATTGCTTAAAGTCACTTGTGATTTCAGCAATTCTATCAAAATGGAGCTTGGGACGGATAAGTGCGCGGTCCTCCATGTCGAAAGGGGTAAGGTCGCTAATACGGAGGGCATAGATTTATCTATGCCTGTTAACATAAGGACCCTCTCTGAGGCTGAAACATACCGATACGTGGGTATGTCACAAAACATGTGTATTGATGAGGCTGGCATGAAACAGTCAGTTCGTGACGTGTTTTTTTTGCACGCCTGACAAAGGTATTTAACAGCCATTTGTCAGGCGTGAACAAGGCACGCGCATTTAACGGCTGGGTCATGCCAGTCCTCATGTATACCTTTGGCATACTCAAATGGACTCAAACTGAGCTCAACGCCCTGGATCGAAAAGTCCGCACAACTATGACGTCCCACAGAATGCATCATCCGAGATCGTCAGTGATGAGGCTGTACCTGCCGCGGAGGCATGGTGGGAGGGGCTTTTTAAGCGCCCTCACCATGCACAATCGCGAGGTGTGCAGCCTCCGTAACTACTTTCTGGCGAGATCGGATGAATCAATCTACACGGACGTCATTAGTTGTGATAAAGCACTTACCCCTCTATCCTTAGCCAACGAGCAATGGCAGGACCCGGGAGTACTGAGCATTTCCGACCGAGAGACCGTATGGAAGGAGAAAGAGCTCCACGGGTGGTTCTACAAGGCTCTACACGAGCCTTTCGTAGATACCGTTGCCTCCCTTAACTGGCTACGTTTCGGTGACCTCTTTGGGGAAACCGAAGGTTTTGTCTGTGCAATACAGGATCAGGTTATTAAGACGAACAACTATCGGAAATACATCCTAAGGGATGGCACCGTCGACATCTGTCGAGCTTGTCGCCATCCCGGGAAGTCGCTTCGGCATGTTATTGAACAACCGGTGTTCCATGCTTTCTAACTCTGAGTATCTGCATAGACACAACCTAGTAGCCAGAATCCTACACCAGGAGCTCGCTCTGAAATACGGCCTTGTGGATCGGAAACTGCCGTACTATAAGTACTCTCCGGAGGCCGTGCTAATGACCGCGCCAGGCTCTATTGGGACCGGCCCATCATCACGGACAGGACGATTGTCGCGAACAAACCGTCGTGATGGACCGGGCACAGTCGCGGGTATTTTTGGTCGACATTACCATTCCATATGACGAGAACCTCGTGAAAGCCGAAACAGATAAGAAGACAAAGTATCTGGACCTGGCTCATGTGGGGTGGTGTGCCGACCGAAATTATCCCGATAGTCGTGTCTGCGAATGGGTTAATCCCAGTCAGCCTCTCCAAACATCTGAGGCGACTGGGACTCCGGGACGGATCGCTCCAAGCTCAAATGCAGAAGGCGGTGCTCCTCGATACCGCCCGCATCGTCCGCCGGTTTCTCTCCCTATCGCCCTAACCCTCGGCCGTTTGATCTCCCCTGCCGAAGGCTTCCGTCTGGTTGGGTCCTATTTATATATGTATTATATACAACATTTATATGTATATGTTTATTTTTATCCATAATATTTATTTTATATATGCAATATGTATCTATATTTTTAGTTTTATTTATAAACCCAACCAGACGAGAAAACAAATGAATATCCCCCCAATAATAATTAATACTATAAGAATGATTACAGCTACGAAAGCAAACAAGATGGACACAAAGCATGCCTCTGTGATAATTGGTGCAGTCCCAATGGTTTGTACAAATGATGTTATACGGAATTTAATTTGTTCACTCTACGGAGTTCTTATTTTTAAATAAAATCTGTGCCGCTCTCTGTCGGAACTCGACGGTAATCTAACTCTTTTACCAAGCTTTATTAAGTAGCTAGCTTGAAGTTAGACGCTTATGAACTTAGTGAAAATTGGATTAAACTAACTAGTCCTTTATATTATTCGACATCCGATTTTACAACGAGGAGCTTTAAGATCATTTGAATCTCCTCAGTCTATTTTGTTCTTAGACAGAAATTAGATAAGTTTAGAAAATATAAAAATCGTCCATCCTTACGCTTATGACTTACTTCATATCGATGTTTTTTATTAATGTTTTTATACTGGCCAGCGCTTGACTGCCAGTTAGGTGGTTACGGTTTCTTTACGAGGTTTTCTGTCAAATTTTATTTATTGGTTATGTTTATAACAAAAAATAATACATATTGTATTCTTAATTTTCTTTTAGTAAGTCAAATATCTCTTTTAATTTTTCATAATAAAAAATCTCTTTCAGATAACATCTTCGTCGTGTTTTCACAATTACGTGACCTGTCATTCAGAGTCACACCTAGCACACTAATGAACACGTCTCAAAGGCGTTAATTTTCTTTCATGTTTTTAAAGTTACCTTAAATTAATAGAGATCGTCAACGCATTGCACATAAACCATCTCTAAAACTGCTCACAATAGACTGGAGAGGCTCAGTTTTTTTTTATTTCCTGCATTCAATCTCGTTCAATGTCTTTGTCCTATCTTCCCTCCCGACCCTCGACCCTCCTAATTTACAGTCCAAATACACAAACTAACTACTAACCTCATTCCACTTTGTCACCTTAGTTTTCTCTTTAAAATAATGAATTTCGTTTTTATTCTTACTTCACTCCTCTAATTTTCAATGATCCACTCATTAGTGTTATCTTGATTTGTAAGTCAACGACGATGCAAATGAAACTTTATCATTATATTTCGCCGAAAAGAATTGTTTCGTCCCTTAAAAGAATTGTTTCGTCAAAGAGCGAAACAATTCTTTTAAGGGACCGATGACTTTAACCAATGTCCTGGAGTGGCCATAAAAAATTGCTTACTACAGTCATTACATAGGATTATATTTTACATAGGCAACAACGGTATTGCTGTATCATATTATTCTAGTTTAGGCCAATCTAATAGCCAAAATATCTTTGTTATACTCATTTATAATTTTCACCATACAGTCGAGTGATATCTGCTACTAATCGACTGTTAGTTTTCGGTACTGTTTTCTCTATAATCTGTACATTGACATAAACTTAATCTTTATTAAGAATTAAAGTATAGCACTAACTACATTAGATTGTGAGCTCGCTTTCTTTGTTTGATATAAAATACTAATGTTTGTTCAAGACGATTTCTGTTTGTAAGACGTCTCTACGGTTCAGAAGATAATTCAATAATGATGTTCTGCGCCGTAGACGTCACAGACGAAGACGTCTTATAGGAAATGTTCATAGAATTGTACATGGAATACCGTGTCTTGAAACAATCATTCATGCGTCATACTTGTCCCAGGTAAAAACTTTGAGGAGAGTAATAACTGTGCTAACGAACCATTCAAATTTGTAAAAGGTTTAAGTTTCATTGGACTCAAACAACCAGTTTTCAAGTTTGTATCAGTACCTATCAACAAACTTGTTAGCATAACACAAAGTTGGAAGCTCGGTTTCACATTTCACTAGTGCAGAACGACGCAATTTTCTTCTACAATTTTTTTTAACAATTGCGCTAAAATGTTTGAGTTACTTTGTTATTAAATAATAAAAAAGATAGCGTTTTATTTCCAACTTACTGTTAAATATTTATAAATGTTACGTGGTTTTGTTCATATTAGCTATTTACTTTGTAGCGTTTGTGATAATTTAATATTTAATAATTATAAATCATTGTATTTATTAAAACATGTAGAAAAAATACGAAAAGACTGTCGCCGCTGTGGGAATCGAACCCACGTCTTGGGCATTCGCGGCCTGACGCTCTAGCCACTGAGCTAAACGGCTGATTCTACATTGTTATTTCTTGTATCTTGTATTAACTGATGTTTTTGCTTTCAGTCCCGAGACTATTAAAGCTTCATCGGACGCAGAACCGGTGGGCTAGCCAGAACCCACGGGTTTGCGACATTGTTATTTAGCATTTGAAACAATGCTTGGCGCATCTATTGTTATATCCTTTCTAGCATACCAACAATTTCGAATATCGTTTTACAACGATAATTCGAACGAGAGATGTCGCCATTGCTTTTTATAAATTTTAAGTCAGGCCGCGAATGCCGAAAACGTGGATTCGATTCCCACAGCCGCGACAGTCTTTTCGTACTTTTTCTACATGTTTTAATATTCAATCTTAAGTGCAGAGATTAGCACTATAAAAAACTTTAAAATTCATTGTATTTATTTAAAACATTGCATGTATTTGAGCCATCGTAGTAGCAACGTACTCGTTTATTGTTAATTTTCATGTTAATTTGCATTGAAAAAAAAAGATTCAGTCAAGCACGTTCGGCTTTATCAGCTTGATTAAATCTACATACATTCTTTACCGTGTATATCCTATTCATTCATTTGTACTTACGTAGCTAAGTGCATGAGGGCCTACGAAGTCATAACATTTTGTGCACTTTAAGGGACAACTCTTAAAAAAAGTCGTGAACAGTGTTGAGTACTTCCAAGCGATAGGGGATTTGTAAATCATGATTTAGCCGAATGGAGATGCGGTCAATCGCCATGAAGCTAGCGGTGTTGTTAGCGTCATTTGTTCCGTTGGGTTTGTATGTTTAAATTTTATGATTAGTTAAACTATCTATTGATTCTTTAATTTACACCGTTAAAGGTGACAGCCCTGGTCTTATTAAGCTCGGTGAAAGGTGTATAGGGTTGGAAGATGTGACAGTTTATACATACATATTTTGTCTTTTGCTAAACCATGTGGTTTAATTATCGCTGACGTTTTTCCTATAAATTTAAAACCTGGTTAAAAAGGTCGTTGAAATGTGTGAGAATTTATTGATATTCGGTTAGCAAGTATATTATTTATACAGTATGTTATTTTCACTATTACGCGAATTAAAATATTCATTGTAGGTTATTTGCTTCACGAGAGAAACGCGCGAAAATAGCCTTCTAAATAAAATTTGTAAGCACTCGTGGATTCTCAATAAAATTTAAAAATGAAAGGAGCTGCAATTTTTATTTCGTAAGTAATTATCTTTTGAGCATTGTTATTTTGGTGATAATCGATTAGAAAGCCCATAAATTATATAAGATTGTACACACTTCTTATAAAAGACCAGATAACCGGAAGCATAAAATGTACGGGGAAAATATATCATACGTTTTTAAACACCCTGCTTTTAAAAGTGTTTATCGTCTCCTCGAGAGCTTTTACGTTTAGAATGTTTCTTCATTAAAAATACCTCAGTTCGTAGAAACAACAAACGTATCTTAGGAAGTGCATAAAAGAAACGAGAACAGCATAGATATCTATGTGTAACTACAAAGCGACAACGTAAAACGATTGTTAAAAAAAAAATTACCATTTATTAATATTTAACACTGTCTTAAATTACTTTTTATGTGTTTTATTCGTTACTACTATACATCTGGTTTTCCTTAATACATTTGGTGCCAGATATAAATAAATATACACATAAAACTTAGGCTATTAATACACATTCATAAAACGATACGTGTCATTGAGTAAAGCTTTTATTGGGACCGAAATAATAAGTCTCAGAAAGAAATCTTCTTAATGAAATCGCTAGTGAATAAGTCATGCCGTACGAGGAGATAACTTTGGGCTGATTTATTTAAATGAAAGTCGATCTTTCTGTAACGTTTTTGCTCATAAGTTAATGTTCGTAAATTTTTATTTCTGATTACTATTTAAAAAAATATTCGGTGCTAAGAGGAATCGGCACCGAAAGTCGTTCCACACATAATTAATCAAGAGTTGAGTAATTTTTTTTTTTTATGTGAAAAGTTGCCAAACGAGCTGACGGTTCACCTGATGTTAAGTGAATACCGCCGCCCATGAACATCTGCTACACCCCAGGGTTTGCAGATGCGTTGACAACCTTTTTGGAAATTGGGCTCCGGCTACCTCACTCACCAGACGAAACGCGAAAGTATTTCTCATACTTCCACTTTACGCCGGTTTTCTGTGAATTTACATGATGTTCTCATCTAACCACCACCTATGTGGGATATATGCAGTAGAATAAAAGAATACTGAGAAAAATTTATGAAGAAACAAAGAGTGAACACCAGAACACCTTTTTATAGGCCCACGAGTATTTCCGTCTTCTTTATATATCTTAATATTTTGTTATTTTTAACAAACGATATTTTACAGGTTTGATAGCAGACAAACATGGAGCTAAAAATGAAGATGCTTTTGGGTTCACAAATGGCACCGTTAAGATGAAATATAACAACGAACCGTACTTCTACAATGTTTTGAAGCGGAATTATACTGCTGCAGTTGGACAGCCTGCTTATCTGCACTGCATAGTGAAGAACCTTGGCGATCGTGAGGTAAATAGAACACTGAATAAAGTCTGTATGTCCCACTGCTGGGCGAAGGCCTCATCTGTACAGAGGGTATATGCCATAGTCCACCACCAAAAATTTATTTGTAATCGTTTCGAAAATATGCAGATTTCCTCACGATGTTTTTCTCTTCACCACTCAGCACGTGCAACCGCTATAAGTCAGCAAACGTTAAAATTATCAAATTTTACTGGTGCCAGCACCGATGATCGAACTCAGGTTCTCGAGTATATTGAATTGATATCGTTACACTGTTATCTCAGAATAAATTATAAATTTTTATAGTACTTATCTTTCCACTTAAGATTAAACATTAAAACTAATATATCAACGTCTCTTATCTACATAGTTTTTGATGCGCCAAACATGGCTTCAAATGCATGTAGAAAGAGACGTTTAGATTTTGGTCGGTGTGGCAATCAGTCGTTTTGATTTAGTGGCTAAAGGCGTCAGGGCGCGAATCGAGACGTGGTTGACAGGCACAGTTTGTATGGGAAAATAAAATTGTTGCTATTTCGATTTTTCATGCAATTTTTCCATAATTTCTCATCGTTTAAACCTTCCCTGGACTGCCACAAATATTTCAAAACCGAAATCAACCAAATCGGTCCAGCCTTTCTCGAGTTTTAGCGAGACTAACGAACAGCAATCCATTTATATCTATAAGAAGATGATGATTCGCGTTAAACAACAAATCGATATATCTTCTGTGAATCAAAAAGTGTTTTGGAATTTGGGTTAGGAGTGAGATGAGGTTTATATTTGATTTTGATTTGACTTTACATTCTTTTTGATTTTGCCACAAATTGCGTTTTGCACTCCGCCGATACTCGCACGGGATTAATCTAAGCGCTCACCGTCACTCGGCACTCGACACGCGTTATTTTCTTTAACCCATATAAGTATCGAACATCGATTACCTGCCATAAATCATGTGACACCCTGTGTCAAACCCAGTTTATTATCAAAACCTGTGTATTCATGTTTTGACTTGGCCTACGAATTATGTGGCTACCTACCTTAATGTCAAAATATGATACTTTTCATATTTCTGATAAAATCAACAGTAACTTAGTTAACTGTTATTACTCAACATAATGGCTAAAATCAAGATAACTTTGAACCACCATTATAACTATTATTTTATTTATTTTGATTATTATTGTGAGATATTAAACAGCTATAATTTAAATGTATCATTAAAAAGTAAAAATAAAAGACAAAAACATTTTTCACACATAATAAAAAGAGCAATTGACAGTGAATTTAATTATTACTGGAATCTAATGTTTAAAAAATCAACTTATGGAAATAACTATTCGGTGTGTTTATCCGTCTATGGTTAGTAACTAATTATGATGTAGATTATTTTATTTGTAAGATCCCTTCCCCTGGTGAAAGCCTCACCCTCCCAGCGGTGTCTATATTAGGCTATTTGTAATCAATTTGGACCCGCTGTCTTTGTGATGTTGTCTTGCCATCTCACATGACATTCTCCTGGGCGTTTCGCTGTTTCGTTCTTTTAAACAATTTGTCAACCCAATTGGCGTAGTGGATAGTGATCCTGTCTCTTGCGCAAAAGGGTGTGGGTTCGATCCCCACTACTGGAAAAATATTGTGTGAACAACGGTAGAGCCACGCAGCAGCCTCGGCAGTTGCACGAATGGGCAGGCTCATCCGCGTAAGTACCACGACCTCACAGAAGACCGGCGTAAAGTGGAAGTATGACAAATACTTTCGCGTTTCGTCTGGTGAGTGAGGTAGCCGGAACCCAATTTCCAAAAAGTTTGTCAACGTATCTGCAAACCCTCGGGTGTAGCAGACGCCTATGGGTGGCGGTATTCACATCAGGTAAACCGTCTGCTCGTTTAGCAGCTTTTCACATAAAAAAAGATGAACATAGCCTGTTTTTAGTGTCTGGGTATTTATATATCTATAATATAATATAATCACGATTCAGAACTTTCCTATGCAGAGGAGGCAAGGATGTCTTGGCTGTCTATCTGTCCCAACGAAAATATCCCACTGGAAGTAAACCTACAAAAACAGTGGGATGTTCCTTTGGTGCGGAGAGTACAGAGAGATACGTTTCAATCTTTAGAAAGTAATTTAGAGCGTGCCCGTTTCCTAGGAGTCTCATCTAAAGAATCGAGTTATTGGCTTCACGCTTTACCATCAAGTAACTTGGGCACATTACTTGACGATGAAAGCTTACGCATTGCTGTAGGAATCCGTCTGGGGGCACCGATTTGTCAACCACACCAATGCCCTTGTGGTGTCAGTGTAGACAAATTTGGTCTCCACGGGCTTTCTTGTCAAAAAAGTGCTGGCCGTTTTTCTCGCCACGGTTCCCTGAACGACATCATCCGTAGGGCTCTTGTTTCCATCAATGTTCCATCTATTTTAGAGCCCTGTGGCATTTTACGCGACGATGGTAAGAGACCCGACGGTTTAACATTGATCCCTTGGGAGAGAGGCAAAGCCCTTGTTTGGGACGCCACTTGTGTAGACACTTTGGCTGCCTCTCATCTAAGGGGTACTTCGGTCAGGGCCGGGGCGGCATCGGAGGCAGCTGAAGTAAGTAAATGGCGCAAATATGAGTCTTTATGTTCAGATTATATATTTGTGCCATTTGCTGTTGAAACATTAGGTCCGTGGGGTCCCCGCACATCAAATTTTTTTAAAAGTTTATGTCCTAGGCTTAACGCCGCGGCTGGTGACAAGAGAGCTGGTTCTTTTCTCGCGCAAAGGTTAAGCATAACTATTCAGCGAGGAAATGCAGCTAGCGTTCTTGGCACCATGCCGCGTGGATTAGGTTTATTAGATAATATGTAATTTTAGATAGATTTAATCTTGTAAATATTAGATCAATAAAGATTGTCTAGTAAAAAAAAAAATGTATTTATTTACAAAAGAAAAGGATTTTTATCAGGTATTTAGTACCCGCAGTATATGCTTTGCTTTGTTTGGGACTAGATAAAGTTGTTTAAAAATATGTCCTGAGATATTTATTAAACATATTTCGGCTCTCAATAAGTCAATACATCATTACACATCTTTAAAATTAAGAAAGTTCATAAACAATTCGTAACCGTACTTATGAGTTTTAGGAACAAATCGCAAAATAACTAAGTTTCTTCATCGAAAAAAGTTTGAGGTAAACTGAAACCTTTTCAACGCCGAGATCGCTTAAGTGCTCAATAATGCGAACTTCGATCCCTCACGGAAATTTATTTTGAATTGTGAGCTGATTGCAAGTTTATAATTTAATTTTCACAAGCATTATTTGTGGTTTTATTTCAATATAATCTAATTGAATGATTTCTCAACAGAGTAAACACAGTAATGTCGTTGATAACTTATCATTCTAAATATACATTTTGAAGGTACGTCAAAGTATGTAAGTCGAAGAAGGACGTCGTAAAGGAAATAATAACAGAGGCCGGGAATGCCGTGGTTAGTCTCTCCGCGATTTAATTTTACGAGAAAGTTATTAAAAGAAGCACACATGTTTGAAATGCGTTATCGTTCCTTTCAATCCTTGAGGTTTTCTCGAAGGACGACAGCGAAATTTTTCTCAGTTTGTGATTCATCCCGGGGTGGACTCTATTTGACCAGGGAAATTTGTAAAATTTGTGAACCATTTCACAGAAATAGTTATTAACTAAAAACTCTATAGAGCGACGACCTGTGCTAATGTGCGGGAATTCGATCGATGCTGTTGGCTCGGGCTCATGCTTAGTTTTCAGAAGATTTGTTTGTATATTAATATTGTGAATTTTTGTAGATAAATGAAGAAAAGCTCTTGGCACTGCGGGATTCGTACCTGCGTCTTCTGGTTTCGCGCCCAGACGCATTAAAAAAGGCTTGAAAATCTCGCCATCTATATAGAAAAATTATAATTTAAAATTTGCCATCTTATATAAAAAGTATCCTATATATAAAATTGGATTTTTTCTAAAAACTCGAGAAACTGGACCGATTTTGCTATATTTGCTTTTGAAATGCGGCAGTCCAGGGATGTTTAAACGATGAGAAACTATGGAAAAATTGCATGGGAAATCTAAACAGCGACACTTTTATTTTCCCATTCAAACTGTACCTGTCAACCTGTCAAAAAATTTTTGAACGCGTACCGATTCCTCTAGAAATAATTTATATGGCAAAGCAATGTTTGATTCGATTAATTCTAAAATGTCTATTAATGTGTTTGAATCCCACAGTCTGGACATATAGAATTAATTACAAAGAGGATGAGCAATAATAATATGCAATATTTTATAAAATAATGAATGAAAATCTACACAAAGCGGGCCCAAAACCACCAGTGTTAGAAACTTGAAAGTTTAACAGTAAATACTTTCGTAGTTGTTTTGGATGCCTACGAGCGAATAACGTAGCCTACGTATGTATGTCCATATACGTTATTTGTAGGCATCCACTAAGAAACGATTTATTTACAAGGAAAACGAATGTATTTCCTTAAATACCCAACGAAAAAATCTTGATATGTCTCAAAGTTTAATAGATCACTCGAATTATTAGTAGGGCATAAATAGATATGCCAATTATAAATTTAAACAAGTTACATATAAAGAAAATAAAATTTTTTCGCACTCTGGTACTAGTTATTGCATATAGTCTGGTAGTATCAGAACGTGAATTCTGCCACAGTAAAGCTTAGAAACGTAAAGAATAGTATAAACTTTCATAATAGCTGGCAATATTTACATAACGAAATTGTACTAAGAGCATTAACGCAAGCACCGATCTAGTTTAAGTTTGGAGTGGGTCAGAGGTTATCGTTTCTTGAACTTTAAACGTCCAACATTTTAAAAAACTAAAAAAAAATGCGTTTCATGAAGAAATTTTAAACTACGATTTAAATGAAATGAAATTTTAAAAAAGGTTTTGTTACACGTACTGAATATTTATTAAATATTTTTTAGTAAATTTACTATTTACTAAAAAATTCTTTTGACTTACGATCCAAATTATATAGTTACATATTTTATACATGACGCGATGGCGGCGTTGGTAAGCTATTGGCTTCGGCGTCGGAGGTCGTGGGTTCGACTCCTACATGGGACAAGTAATTGTGAGTCACAGATAATTGTTCCCGATCCGAGTGTTTGTTTCCCAAGGAGAGCTGACATCGGGCAGGCGGCCGGTTACATATTAGGCCGATAAGAGCAGGAGGATGATGATGAAGACATAATAATAGCACTACATTGCTATATCCGGTAGATCTACTGTCTTATCAATAAAATCAATAGTCAATGGTATGTGTGACGTCACACTTAAGTAAAAAACTCATAAACATAATAAAACAGCGCAGCTTTAGTGAATTTCATCATTTAATTTCAATTTTAATAATAGATGGGTGGCTGAATGGCGTGTAGTGCAATATGTCTTTAAATAGTCCAAACAAACTGTCTCTCTTCCAAATAATCCAAAAAGCCGAAAGACGGGGTTACAATTAGCTCTAAGAGACCCAAAAAATATTTTATCCCATTCAAATGTTTTTATATGTCAAGATCACTTTGCTTGTGTAAGCGATATTAAACTTATATTAGATTGTAGCTAAGCAAGCGGTTTTATTAAACGAAGTAATAAATAAATAGGATTCTGAAATAAATTCACTAGTGCTCATGTACTCTGACTGTGGGGTACCTGTTTAGATATCTGCTGCAAAGTGACGTCTGTACTACAGAACAGACCTACTCCTACTGGTCTCTGGATTATGTAAGCTTGTTCCAGTAGCATTCTACGGAAGTACATTCAGGTTATTCGGTGCAACGACAAACCATCATTAAAATAGCAACTGCATGCTTTCATACTCCCGCTGTCACAGAATAGAAATGGCACTGACAGCGCATAATTTTGCTACCACGTTCGTTAACACCATCGTCACATTACAAGCTTCGGTTCTCAATTTATGCTCTGGTCATATTTTACACTCAACCGTTCGAATCCCACGCAATGAAATTCCTCAGTGTTTATTATTGTAAATGAAATAAATAAACCTGAAATGAGATTGTACAAAATGTATGAATTACATATTTCTCGTATACATATAACGTCATCAACATGAAGGTAAAATATGTTTGTAGTTCAACATCATTATTTCAGCCTGATTGATTACACTGGTGAACATACGAGTATGCCGATTAGTTGTGTTTTATAATGCTGCAAAAACACACATTTGTAAAAGCCCATTTTTGATTAAATCAATTTTCATTACACATTTTTTTAAATCGAGATAAATTTAAAGAAGTTGTAACTTTCTGACCCCTAGTGTGGTTTAAAACACAACACACGTTTACGTTCTCATTTTACTAGCGTTACGACTAATGGCAACAATTTATTTTAATAAAAGCGTTGATACGTGATTTGGAAACAAAAATACTCGCTGTGAATGAACATTTAAAAAGAAATTTCGAATATTGAAGTTGGAATTAAATCGAAATACTGTAACAATTTTCATTTCATTTTATTCTATCTTTGAAGGAACTACATTAACCGTGAACAAAGTCGACAGCCCCTTTTGCACATCGCGGCTCAATAACTAAGCGGAACATGTTTTAGCAGTGCTAAGTACTGACAGACATTTTTTTACGAAAGAGGATTTATTTTTCAATTTATGTTTGCAAACTGACTGCGATTTTTCCTGCCCTAAAGCCTCCTTCCTCGCTACGACATCTGTTTATGGATGAATGAAATGGCTTGTTTGGGGGAGTACCAGACCTCGCACGTCGTTTTTTTATTAGGCCGTAAATATTTTATGTTTCACGACATTTTTCACACTACCAACTAAGCGTAACTTGTACTATGGTGCTATACCTGAGCTACGTTGTACTTAAACAGATTTTCCTGTTGTAATCTCATACGGATTATAGGTACTGAAATACCCAGACACCAGAAAAACACTATGTTTTTCACTCACTACCTTCCCAATATTGGGCTCGAACCCCGACCTGAGGCACAACAGCCAGGTTTACGCAGGTTTGCGCTAGGCTCTACGCAAGACATTTGCGTTTAGCCTGGTGAGTGCGGTAGCCAAGGCCTTAATGATTAGCATGTGAAACCACAACTTTGTTGCGGATTTGCACGGGAATCCCGCAACACATAAATGAGTCTTACAAAAACTAATCCTTGTTTCCTGTGCACTGTTATTCTTTCACAATTTATCTGTGCTAATGGTTGGCTTGTCCGGGCTAGTCTCACGGCCTAACAGTAGACAGGAGCGAAGTGAAAGTATACTTTCGCGTTTCTTCGGGCGAGTGTCGTAGATGGAGCATATTTCTTGAATCATTCAATGCGCGGTGGTAAGCACGAAACATCAGGTGAACCGCCGTTTCGCTTGCCTACTTTTCATGGTAAAATATTCACCAACGTTCCGATATGCCCGTCAGCAAAATCACTACATAGTATAAAACAAAGTCGTCCCGCTCTCTGTCTCAGCATACATATGCTTAGATCTTTAAAACTACGCAACGGATTCTTATGCGGTTTTTTTACTACACAGTGATTCAAGAGGAAGGTTTATATGTATAAAATACACTAGCTGCTGCCCGGGACTACGTCTGCGTAGAATAGGCTGAAGGTGTAACATTCAGACAGAAAGACAGATATACATAAAATATGTATATGAATTATAGCCCATGTCTTATTCTGATATATATAGTATAAGCTATATTATCGTAAAGTTTCATTAGAATCCATTCAGTAGTATTTGCGTGAAAGAGTAACAAACATCCATTCCATTCATACAAACTTTCGCCTTAATAATGTTAAGTAAGGATTGCACCCGTGCGAAGCCGGGGCTGGTCGCTGGTCCATACTAATCCTTTCTCAACTCAGGTGTCCTGGATCCGTAAGAGGGACCTCCACATACTGTCCGTGGGCGTGCACACGTACAGTAGCGACGCGCGCTTCGCGGCAATACACGCGGACGGCTCCGAGGAGTGGACCCTCCGCGTTGCGAACGTGCAACAGCGGGACTCCGGCGCCTACGAGTGTCAAGTCTCTACGGAGCCGAAGATAAGCCTGTCGTTCACCCTAAACGTAGTAGGCGAGTTCCCATTCGTTATAACGTAGCTTATTTCATTAATATTCATGGTACACGTTCGAAAAGTGTTTGATTTTGTTACACCTTAGGCTAAAGGCTACAATGGGCGGCCTTCATGATTAATGGTATTCTCTACCAGTCAACCCTTATCATAGTATAAACGTTCAAAGTGTTTGACTAGTTAGCACAAAAGTTAAATATGTCTTTGAACCGATCTCTGGCCATTTCATTCGGTCCAAACTAACAAATAAGTCCGACATAAATCATCTGGCAAACTATGAGCTCTTTAATACAAGTTCGGATTTTTGGCTGTATTCATCGATTAGCTCATTTCTAGCATCTATCTTGACACGAACACAGCGATCATGAGTAACATATTGTGATAATTACGATAAAGATATATACTTACGTTAATTTTATGCAAAGATCGATTATGATAGACAGAAAGACAAATGCCAATATAAAACAACCTTCCAGGCTGAACGAATACAATGGTGCTACAAAGAAGTTTATTTGAAATGTAATGTAAGCGCCGGCTCCTGCTTAGCAATCCAGAGTCGTCGCTGTAACGGAAATTGGCAGAACGAAGTGTAGCGGGAAAACGCGTCAACGGGCAGATTTCGTCAATTTATTATAATAACATGTAATTTCGTTGCAGTATCAAAAGCGGAAATTCTAACAGGGTCCGAAGTGCTAGTACGTGCGGGCTCCGATATTAATTTAACCTGCAAAGTGACACACGCCGTCGACCCACCCAGGTACAGACATAAGTTAAGTTTTCCTCCATCGAACAAATCATTAAGTAGTTCATATAAGAAGACACGCGGAAATATTTGCGACGATTTGTATTGTACACTAGTCTTTTTCAATTTACTTCCAAATACAATTTACAAACAAAAATACGTAAGATTCCAGTTTAATGTTTTTTTATGATCTCACTCAAAATATCGGGTTCCACTGAAAAACAGAATTTCCGTCGGAAACATTTTCACGCGATCGTTTTTACTATTATTTGCCTAAAACAGAACGAATCCTTTGATAGAGTTCGAACAGCATTTATGGATTACATGGATAAAAAAGATTTTTTTATTGGTCCTCTTTTTAACATTACTCAGAGTGTAGGATTTATCTTATAGAGTAATGTTAAAAGGAGGATTTTCTTGTGTTTTAGAGACTTTATAGGACTTTATAGATCCGGAGTAAATATCTGTGGCTTACACACTTATTGGGAACCGAACCCACGGCCCGTGGTGCCGAAGCCAATGGCTTAGCAACTGACCCATCGGAGTCATTTCGCTGGTCGCGCATTGACATTTATTAAGGAAGGACTAGGATTTATGCAAGAAAGATGGCCATTGATAAAGGCAATTTAAGGAAATACGATCTTGGTTACCACAAAAACCATTGCTAAAACACAGGCCCAGCTAAAAGCAGACTCATTTCGAAGTGCTACAGTTTAAGTATAAATCGCGCATGTAATAAAAATAATTATGTTGGATAAATAAATTCTATTGAGCTTTGCTTTTCCTTCCGTGACATACATGAATATATATAAAAAATTAAAAGAAGTTCAAAGTTAAAAGAATTGTGTAAATTTAAATTTAAAATTATAAGTTGCCTAGAAATTTCTGTTTTAATATAAGGTTAATATAAAAATACTTATTTAATCTCTCGGTCGACCAATTTATACTTAATGCACGTCGGAAATTTTTCTCGGAAGGAGAGGGTATTAAAATAGATGCGATATTCATTCAATTTTCTTACTTGTACTTTAATTTTAAAATTAAATTTTATTTTTATTTTCCTGATATTACGGCAAAAAAGATTTAATGACATACATTTACAAAATATGAAGCATGATAATAAAAATAATATACATGTACATTACTGTAAAATAATAGGACAATGGCACATTTATGTTTAAAGTAGTATTTATAATAAATTTTCATTACAATAAACAAAGTTTAGAATAAATCGTTGTCAATGTCCATTTATATTTTATATCATAGTTAGCGAAATTGAAAGCTTCAATGCTTTCAACCGACTTTAAAAAGGTGAAGGTTCTTAATTCGTTTGTTTTGTTTAATACCTCAAAACTCCGTCATTTAAAAATCGATTTTAACCGATTTTCATTGGGTTCGGTTTAGCCCCCATGTGGTCCCATATTAACTTCATTGATATTGGACCATGAACTTCAGAGATGTGCCAGGTAACTTCTCAAAATCAAAATAGAATACGTATCGTGAGTGAGATATTTTAAATTGGTTTCGTATTTTGTTACTTAAAATGTTTAACTAGTTATAGTTGATGCTACATATAGTATGTCTTGTCCTTAGTTTCATCTACTGGTATCGAGGCGACAACATGATAAGCTACGCTCTCCGTGGCGGGATTAGCGTGGAAACGGAGCAACTGACGAAGACAAGTCGCTTGCTGATAGCGCGCGCCACAACAAAGGACTCTGGAAACTACACTTGCGCACCTAGCAACTCTGGTATTTTTCTGATAAAGTTTTGTTTATAAGGAGCAAAAGGTGTCACGCGGGCGGGCGGTTAACCTGATGTTAAGTGATTACCGCTACCCAAGGACATCTAAAACCGTGAGCCTGAAAGCTTGAGGATGCAAAGACAATACTTTAGAAATGTTCTTTTACTTTCTATGTAAGAATGCGTATATTTACATATTCATATGATTATATACATCAGTTAGACAAACGTAATGGACTTCCACTTTCCAAGTTTTGCTGAAGCATACCTCTGTCGGCTTTTCCACATCCATCGGTTTCGGGTATCTTATTTACACTTGGCATTTAACGTGGCTTATTCTACCCTACTCTAGTTTTGCTTACGCACATTATTGTTGGCACCGATATAGTATTAAGATTGATCCTTTTCCACATTCTGACTTATCATTCTACATCATTGTAGTACCGTTTATCCCCGATCACCCCACAATGTTAATATAAAACCACATCTACCTGTTCCACTTTCCCAAAATCCATTATATTGCTTTTTTATACTCTATCGCTTTCTTCTCTATTACTTTCATTCAAGATATATTATACTCGGTAGTAGGATATTCCTTTTTGAAACCTTGTCCTATTTAACACTTCGTACTTAATAACACTAAAATGTAAATCTTACTAATGAAATCTGAAAAATAAATATTTAATATACTGTGCTTTAAGCATGTTCAAAAATGCTACATATTAAAAATAACGTCTCATAATGAAATTGTTATTCTTTTGACAGACACGGCTTCGATATTAGTTCACGTAGTAAATGGCGAGCGCCCGGAAGCGATGCAAAGCGATGCCCGGAAGTTGGATGCGACCGTATTATTTATACCAATATTAACAGTTATTTACTATGTAGACAAAGTTCAATTAGCGAAAATACTTATTAACATTTCCTTTTTGCCCAAATGTTGTTATTCTGTGTTCAAAGCGAATTTCTACCTGTTTTGTTGTTTTAAGTTCAATAAGATAATTGTCACTAGATGACCTGCTGACTCATCATGGCTTTACTGAAACATAGCCGCAAAGGAAATATCTTTTAATAGATCATTTTTGGAACTGAAGAAAAAGGGTACGAATTATTAGTACTAGTTTTAAAAATTACAATCAATCTCAATAATCAAACATTTATTATCATTCGTTGCTAACAAAAATTCAATACTTTCAAATTTCAACAATTTTAATGATTATTTATTCAATAAATCGCTTTATGTGAGGCTAATTTCCTGCAAGACAATAATGCTGAATATGTATATAAGTCAAATTAATTGAAATCTTCTCAATAAAAAAGACGAAACAATTCGTTCAAACTCATTATTAAATATGTCACATAACTATTTTTTAAATTAATTTAAACTAAGAAGTCTATAATTACTTTCATATATGAACTGTATAATTCATGTAATAGCATATTGTAAGTGCTTTTATGAATAAAAATTAAGTTGGTTAGTAAGTTGCCATATCAAAATAGACAAATAATTGTAAATGTGTAAAAAATTATTGAATGTATTAATTCATTTTCTTTCAGCTTGATAATTTAGCTTTGTTTATACAAATTCAAACTATTATACATATTATTATTTTGAGAGAGGTCTAGTACAAATTAATTCATGAACATGGATCGATTTCGATATGAAGAAGATTTATGATATTGCGTGTATGATAGACACTGTGGGTAAAAGGATATGTTGTTTCCATTGTTCGTAGAAATAAAATGTATAATAAAGCTTAATTAAGATTAATCAGCTAAGATCTCATTAGATTTATAGGTCATTATCATTTAAAAACACAATGTCATAGCAAACCTATCCAAGGAAGATATTAATTAAATATCCGGGCTCATATTGACACTTTATCCAAATCGACTTTTTGGCTATACTTAGTTATTTACTGATCCATAATTTAGTCTTTTTTTAATCATACTAATTTAAAAGGGATCAACACACACTATGTGTTTTAAACACGTTTGTAAACTTAAATGGTGTGACGTCGCATTAACGAATACATCCATTATTTGTGGAATAATTATGGAAGTAAAATGTTTTTCCATGTTAATTTCTTTGTTTTATTTAACCCCATTTTATCGCGTCATCCCCAACAAAGATATTTTAAGGCTTGTACGTGCTTGCAGAATTCTCAGAAGAGCAAAATATGCAAACATAAAAAAAAATGCTCTTACGTCATTTTCTAGCAAATGATTAAAATTCCTTCCACAAGTTCTTTTTTAGTTTAAAACGTTTTACCACGCTTATGAATCTAATCCCTTTACATCAGGGCAAAAAAAGACAAGAAGACTACTAGCGGTCCGGACAGACCTTGTCCTGTACCCGACAACATATAAATAAAAAAATGGTAGTTGACCAAATTGTAAATCTAAACCATTCTCGAATCGACCTGTATACACACAAAACAATTCTGTAAAATGGGCCCAGCCGTTTAGGAGGAGCTCTGTAACATACACAGAAGAATTATATATATATCGATAAATAAAGATGCAAGTCTACGCTGTTGCACGAAAATGCAGGTCCGTCCGGGGAAGTACCAAGATATATATAGAAGTGTAACACTTCTGCTTTTCGTCCGTAGTGTGAGGTAACCCGGCCCACTTTAATAAACGGTGGCAACGCATCTGCAACCCTACGAGTGTTGCAAATGTCCATGTTGTATATAATACATATATAAATACAGACAACCGTGATAGTTAGACAGTTGAAATTATCACATACAAAAAATTTAAGTTGGGTTTCCCATACAACAGTAATTTTTTAGCGTTTTTATAGATAATGGTACGGAAACCTTCGTGCCAGAGTCCGACTCGCATTTGGCCGGTTTTTACTTATTTTTATTCCTGCAATATTTTCTTTTTTACAATGACATATTCATAAAAAAATATAACAATAAAGTTGTCATAATTTCACAAATACGATTTCGATATTGCTTGGCGTAATAAATGGGGAAAGCCCGGAAGGTATGCTTTGCATATTACCCGGAACTAGAGGCGACCGTTATGTTTACTCTATTAATGAGCATTGTTTAACTTGATGGTAAAATTCCATTACCGCAAAATTTTTATTGAAATATATTTCAAGTTTTATTATATTTTGCTGGAGGTTTCTATTTTTAGGAACCTCCAGCTTTAGCCTCCAGAATTAGATTATTTCTATTGTTTAAAGTTCAAGTTATTTGTCATATGAAATATGTAGGTACCTACAGCCAAAAAATAAAAATATACTATAGATAGACCATTTGTGGAACTGATCAAAAATATTACATATATCTAATATAGAAAATTCTCGTGTCACGGTGTTAGTAATTGAACTCCTCCGAAACGATTCGACCAATTCGGCGAAATTTTGTGTGCATATCCATGGTAGAGAATCGTACATCTATTTTTCATCCCCCTAAATGTTAAGGGTGGTCCACCCCAAACATTTTTTTCTACTCTACAAATAATTTATATGGCAAAACAACGTTTGCCGGGTCAGCTAGTTGTTATTATAATATACTTGTTTTAAAAATACATTTTTTTATTTAACTACACTTATTGCAAATACTGTGAATTTTTTCGAAGGTTTAAAAAATGTACCAGTTTTATTGTCTTTCTTTGCTAATTTTTTTAAAACTATAATAGTACTAAGATTAATTTTTTACGTAACAATGCATCCTGAATTGTTACACAAAGTGATTATAGTACTCTACAAACGCAGAATGTAGAATTAATTTTATTTACTTTACATCTTTTATAATTGTCGTTATAAAGACAAGACATCCAATTACTGTTTAGGTACATCAAGAAACTTTTAAAATATTTATAATGGCCCTTAAATTGTTGTTAAATTGTTGTTAAATGTAATGTACAACAGGAACACTCAAAACAACTATAATAACTATAATATATTATTTGATTATTTGAAAACTAGCTTTAAATAAGAACTCTCTCCACGATAGTATTCACAGAATTAAACATCAATTTCAAAATTATGAAAATGGTTTGCAAAGCTTTGCTAATTTATTTTGATTGAGTTTAATTTATTCAAACAATATTTCTTTGATTAGTGATTAAGGAACTTTTTCAAGCAACACTAGGGCTGTCACTCCAATTGCGCACGATGAGTGCGGTAAAATCCTCGACCTATTAATCAAATCAATTAAAGCACACCAAACATTATTTAAAATGGATAGAAATGGATAATTTATAAGCCCCTTTTTATCTGTATGTATGTACGTATACTTTTTAATTGACACTTCATGATACTGTGATGTTATTGAGACTTAAAATAAAAGAAACTAGAAACGGGTAAATTAAGTATTTTAATAAATATAATTTTTACATTAAAGTTAAACTATGATTAGTAGTAATTATTTTGACTTTTAATATAATTTGTGCTGTATAACATAAGAAAAACTGACATAATTATTTTTTCTAATGTTTTAGGTTCTTGCAAATTATTTTAGTGCCAATCTAAACGGTTGATACATGAATTATCCTCTGTATCTTTAGAAGCCCCACATAAGTAAATGTGCTCCTATTAACCTAACCTACTAATCGCCGTATAATTTTTAAAGAGAAAGAAAAAAAATCTTTGTACTTTTCTTATTCAATATACATTGTGTAAAGCGCCATATTTATTATTACTAATCTTCTTCTCAACCACCCTTATCCCACTAGGTCGGAACATTACCACATGTGAACCAAGTTATTAATGGTATTGGCTAGGTTTTTTATTACAAGTTGCTTGTATGACACCAATCTTCCTTGGATATTAATAGCGCCCAGATCCTTAAAATTATCGGTGGGTCAAAAAAATTCTTTCTCCGTGTGGGAATCGAACCCACGAGTGCAGTAAACTATTCCTATATTTAATTCTAGAAGAAGTGTCTCGACTTTCATAAGAATGTATTAAATATAAGTCACAATTTTTTTTATTTGAGAAGGTAGCAAGTGAGCAGGCGGTTCACCTGACGTTAAGTGATAACCGCCGCCCATGGACATTTGCCACACATTTTAGTCAGATCACAACAGTTCAAGTGTAACAAAATTGCTACTTCTTCTTAAATTTTTATTATTTTACATTATTATTTAGAAAACATGAAGGTTTCCTGATGATGTTTTCCTTCACTGCTCAGCACATGTTAAGTAACAGTTAAAATTGCAGTTATAAGTTTCATTGGTCCCAGCACCGAAAGCAAACGCCCGGAGTATCATTGTAATGATATATTATGATAGCTGTGTACGTATAGGAACCCGATGGATGTAGCATATGCTAAATCCATCGGGTTATATAAATATACAGTGGCATATACTCTTCCAGATCCCTTGTGCATTCGTTGAGTATCGGAAGATACTCCAACTCGCAAATACAGAAAACTCGTCCAGAAACGCATTTCCTTGTCTATATCCAGGCGGAAAAAGAGGCCCTTATCAACCAGGGATATGGATCGTGCAACGGTTCGCGGGTTCTCACCATCCATGAAGCACAAGGCACTTGCGTAGTGGCGGTATCCCGGCACACGGTCAGCTGTGTTTACTACACAGACGACTGTGACGACGCAGCAGGCCGCCTTATCCAAAAAGCCATGGCGGCATCAACCTGCAAGATAAGAGACTACAACCTTAAAATGGCAATTAGGAACAGAGACGCAGCGGTCGCGAAGAGACTAGCAAAAAAAATAACACAAATATTACCAAGTACCTGCGACGACGAGATCTCCGTCCATTCTCCCTACAGCAAAAACTGTGCAGAATAATAATAATAAAAAAAATATATATATAAATATGAACTCACTGCTGCACCGCTACCAGCCCGGTTGATGTACGCGGCAGTGATAGCCCGAAAAGAAAATTAAAAAAAAAACATGTTAACCAAAAAAAAAGAGTACGGACCACGAGTCTGTAGAGTTAATTGTTAAAGTAAAAAAAATAATGATATATTATATAGCATTGTAATGATATATTTAATGATTATATCATCATCATCATTCTCCGTGCCTTATCCCTAGGGTCGGCACAACATGTTCAGATTCAGATTCAGATCAGATTTTTAAAGAAACATTGCCCTTACTTTAGGATAACATTATCCTGTGTTGTAAGGAGGTTTTACAAACATAAATTTCACGCGATTCGGAACTATTATCTGTGGGTCACACAAATAGTTGTCATGTTTTGAACGGTTTTGGCTATGTTTTTTATGACCGACCGCTTGCCCGTCGTCAACACAAATAGTCATGTTAGTGTGACCCACAACTAAGGTTGTGAGTCACACACATACTTGTCCCTTGTGGGAAATCGAACCCACGACCCCGAAGCCAAAGTCAATGCAACGGCGCCATCGAGTCATCATATTTAATGTTTATATAACAGAAAATTGATTGATTTCACCCACGTATGTATCTAAATCATTGTACTTTCGATTACATTAAAACCTACTGCTCTCTTAAAACTTATTGCGCAAAATAAAAAATAAAGATTCCCAATCCCAATATGAATTCGGAACTCTATATTTAGCTGATAGGAACTACAAGTACAATGAAACAAAACAAGAAGTCAAAGTAGCCGATGTTCGGAGATGAAGTTACTTCTCTTGCTAGCTCGCACACGATATATACGTGAACATTCAATTTGATTAAGTTTTGCCCGTACACACAAGACCACTCTGCCACCCAGGTGGGGAAGGAAAGGATGCCATTTTATTTTTTTTACACATTTCACGATCTTTTGCAGTCCTGTTTTTGTTTTTACACACATTCCTGTTGCTTCGTAATAGGTATGTGTATACGGTATATATTCATAATATAATACACTCTCTGTCAGTACAGTTGTATATACATATCCATTTATTTTTTATGTATTGTATAGTTTATTTAATATGATCTACGTTTAATAGGTTTGTAAGTATTACTAAAATTTTGTTTGTGTTCATAAATATAATTTTTGACGTACCACAGAGTAATAAATGCGTTCTCGAACCATATACTATAGCATGAATTCTGACTAATGAAGATGTCTAGACAAGTAAAGTACATTAGTAGTTTTTTGCTCAATAACTTTTGACCTCATTACTTTCTCCTTGAGAAGGTTATTTAAAACGTAATATAAGATACGCCAGTTTACTATTGTTATTATATAAATACTAGGTGACCTGTGAGAAATAATCGCACGTGATCAGTCATCGGATGATAACGTGTACTAAACAAAATGGTAAACGTGTAAATAATTATTTATCAATTAATGGTATCTTATTGTGAAGAACAGTCTACATTGCTATCAATAATTTACACAAAGAATATAATAGATAACATGATCATGGTATTTGCATCAGTAACATTACATGTCATCGG